GTACTGTTGACTTCTCCCTCCACTGGACACCAACTATTTAAGTTGATTTGCATACAAAGCAGAGCTTGCAACATGATAGCTATTCATAAAGGGTGTTTTTTTACTTTTCATATAATACAGTAGTCACACAATGAGGCAGTTCATATTTGTCTCAGTGAATCATTCATTTTTGACAGACACCTGTACAAAATACTTGAACTAAAGCCAGCTAAATTTTTCTGTTATCTTGCATGTTTTATGAATCTATTCTCATCTAAATGCAGCACTTTTTTTTTGCAATGAGACATTTGTTTTTATTCTAAAATATCTCAATTACTTTCAATAAAGCTGGAAATTATGTTCCTTAAAATAATTAAACAAATAAGGCACCAATGTTTTTGTAAGATATTTACATCTTTTAAGGACATTCGGTAGACTGATTCCCCACTGTTGGTTCAACCCCAAAACTTGTTTGTATTCAAAATTAATTATGACAATGCATATTTATATTGAAACAAACTATGATAAAGGGAATTATATTATATAACAAAGGGCAAGGTCACCAGAGTTCAACTATGTTTTTGTTTTCACATTGAAAATTTATCATATTTGCTTTGCACATTTATTGCTTTGTGAGCATGTTAAGTAGATTTCAAAAATGCGGTAAATGTGCAATGCACATGAAAATTCAGAAATCTTCAGGACAGGCTAGGCCAAAGCTTCACTGTATGAGAGGGAATGTCTTTAGTATTGGTGTAGGAAGAAATATCTGCTATTGATTGTATAGTTTATTATCACACAACTGTATACCATCAGATGGCACTGTATGGTAGCAACAAATTCTGGAAGGATAGAATTTTACATCACAAAGCAACATCCCCTCCCCCACGCTCTATTGATTATTGTGGATTTAAGTGATTCATGACAGTTTATCCCAACAATATCCTTTTGTCACTGGTATTACGAGTCTTTGATAAGTTATCCTTCTCCTTTCAATAACACAGGTATACTTCATATATTCACATGTGTTTTTATTTGAATTTATTTTTCTTCTATTTTTCTATTAGTTCCCTAAATATGCAGAGATTGTGACTTTGACTTTGGCTGATGGCACACAAAGAAGTGGTCAAGTACTGGAAGTCAGTGGATCCAAGGCTGTAGTTCAGGTAGGATTACAGTCAAAATTATTTTATAGCAGGTACTGATCAGGAAAACCGCTGTCTGCATATATATCTCTTTTGTAACATTGTAATTTCTCTCAGACGATTGCCAGCAGTGTTTGTTATGGTATTTCAACCATTGAAATACATCCACACTCATGTGTGTATCGGAAGTCCCATTTTATTTGACAGAGGTGCTTGAATTTGAAATGAAATTGTATGTTTTTCATTAAATAATAATTCTCAGTGTTAAAATGTAGAAAACGTTTGTAGGATTCAATAATGCATCATTTTCATATTTCTTTTATTGAAATCTGCCAAACACCCACCTCTGACATGTTGCTATGGAGATTGATTTAGGTTTTCCTGACACCTGCTCTAAAGACTGTTTTCAAATTTTAAGTTGTATTCAGTCTAAACAATCTTATTTGTGACATGTGTTGACATTGTATCAGTACTTTGCTAATCTGTTGCATTTATGTTATTATAAATGTTCACTATTTGATCATTTCGAGGTGTTCACAGGCTTGGATGAAATTTTGTGAATATCAATGTGACTCTCTGTGTTAAGTACTCTCAGAGTTGTTCAAATATATAGTACTGTAGTAGTATTTTTTTGGAGCTTGTTAAAAAACCAAAGATTTTTTTGTTTATTTTTAAAATTTGTTTTAGGTATTTGAAGGTACATCAGGAATTGATGCTAAGCATACAACAGTTGAATTCACAGGTGACATTCTAAGGACACCGGTGTCAGAGGACATGTTGGGTGAGTGATGTACTGTCATTTTATGTTTGTGCATTTTATTTGAGGTGCAAATCAAATATTCTTTCAAATTTGAAATTGCTACTGTTAAATCTGTATTAGAACTGCATTCCTCAAGGAGCCATACATATTTGTTTTGAACAATAGAGAGCCAAAAATTCACCATTTCTCATATGTGTAGATGCTCTAATGGAAACCGCATCCCTCTATTGCATTGTACATTTTAATAGAAGCTGCACCTTCTATTACAGATTTCACAGAATTCATGTAAGTTTAATTAGAAAAATACATTTATATAAAATGGATTTATTGTATTGGGAGCTTTAAAATATTACTTGTTTTGACCTCTGTCATTTATGTAAAAACATTTTATACATATTTTGATAAAAAAAGACAGTACTAGAGAATGCCATTGTCAATACTTTTCAAAAAAAGATTTGTAAAGTGTTAAATCATATTGACTGGCTTGATGCTCAACTTTGTTAGGAAGAAAATCTTTGTCAGGAGTTGCGTGGGTTTGAATCCCACCAATGACAGTAAAGTAAAGAAGAGTTTTTCTTCTGATGGGGAAACTCAGTTTTCCCGTCTATTGCTCTTTCTTTCACAGTGATATCTACACAACAAGAAGGCCTTGACAAACTCCTGAGTTTCCTGTCTCATAATTATTAAATAAATATTATTATATTTTTTTAATTTGGACCAAATGGACGTAATTTCACATTGCCAACTATTCTTGAAACTATGAAAAATTGCAGTTTTATTTTGTAAAATGTGACAAAGTTATTCATATTAATGTTCATTGTTTGATAATTTCATAGAGATTGGCGTGAGATTTCACAAAAGAAAGTGAAATACAAATGTTTTCTAGTATATCCCATGTTTATCAAGTTTTTCTCTTCACCAGGGCGTGTCTTCAACGGTTCGGGAAAACCTATTGATAAAGGTCCACCAGTGTTAGCAGAGGATTTTCTTGACATCATGGGTCAGCCCATCAATCCTTGGTCACGTATCTACCCAGAAGAAATGATTCAGACAGGATTGGCATCTATCGATGTAATGAACAGTATTGCACGTGGTCAGAAAATTCCTATTTTCTCGGCTGCTGGTTTACCTCACAATGAGGTAGGTTTTCTTATTAATGAATTATTAATGACTTCCTTAATTGTTGAAAATCATTAAAAAAAAATGTGTACAAAAAATGTATATATTAAAGCATCTTTGTTGATTTGAGAAATAGGCTGCTTCATTTGTTATCAGCACCCCCACTGTTGAGAAGTCACTATTTTTAACATATTACATATGAAGGAACAGTAAACTCATTAACAGAGGGTGTGACATAAACTGATTCTTTCTAATCTAACCCCCAACTATTTTGTCGTCTATTTTTTCGCATGTATATATTGAAAGCTCTTTATTATTACGTCTCTTTCAGATTGCTGCTCAGATTTGTCGACAAGCTGGTTTAGTAAAACACAACAAGAGTGTCATGGACGACCATGAAGACAACTTTGCTATCGTATTCGCTGCTATGGGTGTAAGTGGGCTTTTTCATTGCCATTTTTTCTATGGAAACCGTGATGTATATAACCTTGGTGTGGTTGAGTGAGGGCGTAGGTTTTATTCCCTCAGTTGAAAGAGTGATGTTCTATGTGATGTGGACATCAACAACGTCCATCTCGTGTGCTGTTTCTGTCTTCAATGCTTGTACATAGAACAAACTTAATAGACGCTAAGAGAAGCCGACTTCTGCAAGAAGATTGGTTCCTCTTTCATGTCAGTCATTTTAGGAGCTGGGGATTCCAGATAATTTACCTTCCCATAGAGATCTCCACAGGTGAAATACTGACCAATGGCCTGGCAGCAGCATGTTAATAAGTAGCTAGTAAATATTCATATGAAATATGCGTCTTTGTGTTTTATTTGTACAACTTAATGTCAATTAGAAAGTGTGCAAAATGTACCAGCAAACAGTTTAGGTTTTTGGCTGTTGAGCTAAGTAATTTCGAAAAGAACATACATTGGTTCTGTACCCTAAGTAGGGCACACAACATTTGTGAGGGGTCGGAATTTTGAGACTGAAATGGTAGTGATTCATAGAATGAATTTTTAAAGTGTATAATCTTGAATACCAAGACTCACTTCTCAAAAAAGTTAAGTCCCTGCTCTAATTGCCATCACATCATGTTTGAAAAATTATGTTTTGTTTGTATACCAAGAAAGAAGTTTGCAGAGGCATCTGGGAAAATATATTTCAACATTATCTGTTTTTGATGTAAAAATTAAAATTATGTCATAACCTTATATCCACAGGTAAACATGGAAACTGCTAGATTCTTCAAACAAGATTTTGAAGAGAACGGATCTATGGAAAATGTGTGTTTGTTCTTGAATTTAGCAAATGATCCAACTATTGAGAGAATCATCACTCCACGTCTAGCGTTAACGTGCGCCGAATTCTTAGCGTATCAATGTGAGAAACACGTACTGGTTATTCTCACTGATATGAGTTCATATGCAGAAGCTTTACGTGAGGTATCAGCTGCTCGAGAAGAAGTACCAGGTCGTCGTGGTTTCCCAGGTTACATGTATACGATTTGGCGACTATTTATGAGAGAGCTGGCCGCGTGGAAGGCAGGAATGGGTCCATCACCCAGATACCTATATTGACTATGCCCAACGATGGTAAGGATCATTTCAAAATTTGGAAAACGTTCCCCTAAACTGATTTATTGACATATTTCATGCTCAATACTTAAATTCTTTTTATTTCAACATTCTGTTGCAACACTTTATCAAGTTCTACTTTTTAATACATTGCCTCTGAAGCCTACATATAGACTATCCCTTGAGGCTTTTAGCAAGCGTTGTGTTAAAAACACAATACCAAAAGCAAACCCTCTAAAATTATCACACCACCATGTCATTTTATATTAGTATAAAATTGAGTATTTATACCAGTATATATAACATAAATCTCCTGTCTCCCATTCTTAAATAATAATAGGTTCAAATTTTATGTAAACAATGTATTTTACATACGTTGTCTATATCGCTATGAGTCCCATATTGAACAGGACACCGCAACCCCGTTTAAGGTTCATGCTTTGATGCATCAAAGAAAATGACTCCTGTCAGTTCATCTCCTGTAGTTGAATACAAATTGATTATTCAATTAAAAATTGAATTAAAATTCTTTGTTTTACATTTCAGATATTACTCATCCTATCCCCGATTTAACTGGCTACATCACAGAAGGACAGATTTATGTTGACAGACAGCTACATAACAGACAGGTATACATCACACTTTAAATCTGAAACATGCTTTCCTAAAAGTTATGAGGGTGTGAACGTCTCCAATGAACATGAAATATATTTCTTATGAATTAAGCACACTGTACAAATAGATCATTGCTTTCAAATCTTTTATGTCCACTGAATCGTTCACACATCTGACGACTGATTGGTATAACTCATATATGCTTGACATATTTATTTGATTTTCAGATCTATCCACCGATCAATGTGTTACCATCGTTGTCACGTTTGATGAAGTCTGCTATTGGTGAAGGCATGACAAGAAAGGACCATGCTGATGTGTCAAACCAGCTGGTGAGTGACCTCATCAATGACATCACACAAGATCATGTGATATATTCACAGTGTATTATTTTATTAATAAAAACATTTACCATTGGTTTCATGCAAATACTGAAAGTGTAGATTATTGAAAATAAACTCAACTGAAAGACAGACTCAATAGGAGTAAAAAAGAGGGTACCAGTACTGGTAATAGGAAGTCCAATTTTCTTTACCTACTGTATTAGCATTAACTTCATTTCATTATTTTAATATTTGAGTACAGTTGCAGGGTTTAATTCAGAAGATTTCATTTATCACAAATTCATACATTATTTTATGATAATTGTTGGCACCTTGCAACAATATAACAGGTAGATTTTGATTTATATTTTGACGGCAAGTTAATATTAAAAAGACCTATTTCATGAAGGTGACATCACTCACATCACCACCGTTGTCACAAGCTTCACTTGACAGAACTGTCAAGTGTTCAGAAGTATTTATTTCAACTTTAAAACGTGCTTGCCTTTAAAAAATAATAGGAATTTTATTAACTGGTTGATTTATCTACAATTAACCTAAAAAATAAATAAAAAAAAGCAATGTATTGCATTGTAAAATTTTGCCATACTGTAAAGTTACTAATTTTCACTGGGTTTAAATTTCGCTGATTTACCATTTCAGGCATACTCAGTGGGTTTTAAATTCACGGTTTTATCATTTAGATAATGTATTCTATGCAAAATTTACATATTCCCTGGGTTTTGATTTAGCGCATTTTCCAGTCAGCGAAATAAGCTAAATTAAAACCCAGTGAATAATTAACCCCTTTACAGTATTATCTCTTTGTTGCTCTAACTAACCCTCATAGTCAATTCTGATGATTGCTTTTGTTTTTATCCAGTATGCTAATTATGCTATTGGCAAAGACGTACAAGCAATGAAGGCAGTGGTGGGAGAGGAAGCTCTCACTCCTGATGATTTACTTTACTTGGAATTTTTAGGAAAATTTGAAAAGAACTTTATTGCGCAAGGTAAGGAATGGCTCTCTGCTTACTTCACTGTGTATTGAATGAGATTGGATTGGAGCATTGTTTTTTAAAATAAAAAACTCAATTTAGAAATACATGTATTAGTTTGTGAAGAAAGTCAGCGTTTAGCCAACTAGTTTATGTAAGATGGTGAATATATAAAAAGTTTTTGGTGGCACCAAAAAATTGGTATGTTATCTGCTCAACCATGTTGACATCCCCAACAAGAATGTTAACCTAATTTATCTTCACAGCATATTAGAATGAGACCATGTTCAGAACAGCAATTATTTGAGTTTCATGCATACATTTGTCTGTGCATGCATGTGTCCAACATAATTTCCCAGACATGCCTGACCTATTTTGCTCAAAGTTGGTACAAAACAAGGTAAAATGGGGGACAAACTTCATATATAATTTATACTTCATGGTGCACAATCAAATTCAAAATGGCCGAATGGAGGCCATTTTAGTATAATCACATTGACCGCTGAAACTCTCCACTGATGAAATGAATGGGAAAAAAGTGCCAGCATGTGATGGGTTGATAATGTATTTCTGCCATTCCATACCAGAATTTCCATCATATATAGACAACTATTGTTCAAACTTGGTATGTACATTGAACATAATAGGACCATAATGTTTTTCAGATCGGATCGGATCAGGTTCTGATTCAGAAAGGCAGACTCTTTTCAATGTGTGTGATTTGAATCAAAATGGTCGCCTGGTGACCATGTTGATTTTTTTAATTTTCAATTATTTATCTGACTTTGACTGATTTTCTTCAAAGTATCAACAAGATATAATTATATACATATGTACAATTGTTTTGTTGAACTTGAGCTGATAGGTGGCCATTTTAGTTTAAAGATTTAAACATATTCTGAACCGTTTCTCTCAACTTGGTTTTGTCTTTACTTATTGTGCATCTTTATTTGTGGACGTCATTTATGTTTACAACCTATGACAATAGAAAATTATTTCAGCCAATACAGACGATTTTAGTTGTGATTACTTTGAAATTCACTACGTTCAATTACCCACCATAGACTCCAGTCAGTCAAAATGACTATTTTGAACTGTAGGCATTAATCAGCGATTCTGCCGGTGACAGAGTGATAGAATCTAGGACAGGGGAAACCCCATGACCCCAAGATTCTCTTTCCCTTACGTCATGAACCATGTGACCGAGGCCATATAGCAGCGCCATAGACGGCTATACAAATCACTCTTCTTTTTTCTCCGCATCGGCGGGGATGAAGTTTTAGCGGCTCTACTGGATCCCCTGCCTTTTTTCCTGTCCGGGTTTCTAGCTTGGGTTGTTGCTGCTGCCCGGCATCCGACATTGTAGCTGGTAGGATAAGTTTTCCTTGTCATTTTAACCTTGTGTCATTTTTCCCCTTTGTGTGTAGTATTTTTAAAACCCGGCGCCACTACGTAACTACTTGTTGGTTTCGCGGCGGCATCTTTTACAACTATTTTTCGTTTTTTCCCTCATGCATGTCGTCTTTCATTTGCAATGTATTTAGCAATGTATGGATGTAATGACAGCACCTTTTGGTCTCCTTGCGTTTCGAGTCGACTGTGCAGTGGTTATTTTCAGAATTTACCAGCATAGTACCCACATCCGAGATACTTTGTCGTAGCTGCATGCGGGGTTCGGGGTTTTTGCGTGAAGGTGTGTGTTTTTCACTGGAGTTCTGAGGCCCGAGATTTTCTTTCAGAGCCATCAAAATCGCTGAGACTGACCGCGTCACAGCAAGGTCGCGCTTCTAGTAAACAAATCGGTTAAAGTGAGTTGCGTGTTTGGCATGAGTGGAAAGTCCTCACACTCGGCTACCGGTTGTTGGTGGAGGTACCGATATTTTTCTCGGCCTCCCCCCGCTGATCGGAGGGCATCCTCACAGTCTGTTTTTTTAGGCGATGGTTTACCCGATTTTACCAGCTGCAGCGAGGCTGTGCCCCTGGAGGCTTTCCTCCTGTGGGGCCTGTTGCGGGTCCCTTTGTAGACCCTTCCTTGCACGGCGCCGGGTTTGATTCCGAGTTGAGGGCTTTGGTCGAGGGACTGTTGGGGCAATTGCATCCCTGGCAGGCCAGGTAGATCAGACGCAGTCGGAGCAAGCTGTCTCCACTGCGGCCCCTCGTTGGGCAAGCAGGAAGAAACACGATAGCATGTTTGTATTCAAACATGTCTCTTCCGGGGAACCCCCGTTCCCAGCCGCGGCTCTCCCACTATTTTTGGGGGAGGCCGAGGCTCAGGCTCAGGCTAATTGCACCGGTCCTTCTCTGGATCCTCAGGCACTGAATGCCAACGGAGTATTGGCAGCCAAGTCTCCGATCTCAGGGCAGGGCTTTCAGGGCAGGGCACACGTTGACCCCCCCTACTTTCAGCCAGCTAGGGTCCGTCACGCAATAACGGTAACGAATTTATCCTTGTGTCCGGTCTCCGCTGTGGGTTTTGACTCCCTTCTTACCGACCCACGGGCGTCCCCAGAGGGAACCGACCCTGTCATGAGACGCACAGTCGAACACGCTCCCTCTCACATATTTAAAGTGAAAGGAGACGCAGTTCACTAGTGTCGGATACAGCCGGTACTCCGGGCAGTCCCTCAGAGTCTTCCATCCATATGACTCGGTGAGCCATGCTTTTTGGGATGATGCGGAGTATCATCGATCCCAGTGATACAATGTAAATTCCCCCACCCTTGATTCTAAGGCGACCACCTAAGGTTGCTTCAACGCTTATGGGATCATGGGTGTCGGGATCCAAAGCAACCCCGTCGGCACGTCTCTCCCTGTCCGTCCGAGTGCGAAGTGGGGCGCAGAGCAAGCAAATGGTGTTGATGGGCGGCGTTGGTCAGCCGCGGAGGATGTAATGCTTAAGACCCCCGGGTGGGGAAAACATTAGGCAACACTTCCCGCTGGACCAAACGCTACCCGGTCGGTGTGGTTTCGGGATCAGACCCCATAGCGAGGGATGAGACCAAAATGCCCCCAACCGGATCCCAAGGCTTCTTCCCCAGACCCCAGTACCACGAATTTGGCAAACCAGGCAAAGGGGGACAGCCGCGTTCCATGGGCGTTCTTGCAGAGTTGCTTGAGTGCATTATTGTGCGCGTCCAGGACTCTGAAGGCCTTGTAGGCAGAACGCACCAGCCTCCTAGACCAGGCAACATTTTTACCGGTGGGCCACCTCACATCTACGTGCAACACCCCCTAGTGTCACCTGGCTCTCTTGGCCGGACCACTACTGTGATACGAGACACGGCCTTAGACGCACGTGTTTTTGCCGACAAGCTGAATCGGGGTACGTCCCCACCTCAGTGACGCAGACTGGACATCCTCCACCCTCTTTGTTCAGGGAATGGTAGGTACAGTCTCGGAGCTTCGGAGTGCAATGAACCAGAGGGTTCAGATTGAATCCGCTAGCCAGTTGGCCCTGCCAAGGGCAAGTGAAGGACACCCCAAGCACAGAAAACACAACGCCTAGAGTCAGCGAGGAGGCAAGCGCTCATACCCTTCCATGGGAGGGAAGAGTAGTGGCGCGCCCCTCACCCTCCCTGGGCGGACGTCTACCCGGCAGCGGGGGAAGCAGGTTTGACGCTCACCTCTGTGGGGTGGGGGGTGTTCGGCGAGTGGCCAGATCACAACTTAGTTACTACTTCAGGCCTTGGGAAACTCACCCCATAGGGGAAGGGGGCACCCCCCCCCCCCCGCAACTGCCGAACCCATGGCCACGTATCCCTGTCGTACACTGTACTCCGGTTTGGAGATAGCGGGTGACCCATCCCTGGACCTTTCCAGGTAGTGACATACTGTTAAGGGATATCGCTGAAATCTCCATTTCCCCCCGTCAGTGTCTCCCCTGTTGGGCACTGCCAGGGGACTCAATCAGACAAGAAGTAGCAGTTTGCTGGGAAAAGGCGCCATACACGGGTACATCAGCCAGAACTAAGCCCAGGCTTCTACCCAAATGTGTTTGTAGTACCAAATCTACAAGTGGCGGGCGTCCAGTTCTGGACCTAGGCAGACTGAATCAGTACGTGCTCCTCGATCGGTTCCACATGGAGACACCATTCAGGATTCTCCTCTCCATCTACCCTTTCGACTGGTTAGCCCCACTAGACTTAAGCAGGGCCTACCTGCACATACCGATGCACCCAGCGAGTTGCCATCTCCTTCGAATTGCCCAGCTGGGCCAAGTATTCAAATTTTGGGTGCCCCCTCATTCGGGTTAGGCAAAGCGCCCTACGTGTTCACCCGAGTGATGAAACAGGTAGTGCTGCTGCTTCACCAGATGTCTGTACACCTCAATCCGTACCCAGACTACTGGTTACTAACAACCCGAGCAAGGGGTTAATCGCCAAACGCGTCAGGCTAACACAGGGCTCGTTAGTAAATCGACAAGTCCCACCTCGACCCAACTTGCAGTTGGTGTCCCGGTATAACGCTTGTTATAACGCCGAGCTCTCCTAACTAGAACTAGAGAGACAGGTTTTGATCTCGGACCAAGTGAAGGAAGCCCTGCCTTGGTGGTTGTCACTGGCCAACCTTGGACAGGGGAGCCCCTTGGACCCGCTCGCCGCAGGTATGACCAACAAGCCCAAGGATATGGCCCCCGCATTAGTTTTGGGATACCATATCAACCGGCTCGAACTGAGAGCAGTGTACTTAGCACTACCACGCTTTCTACCCGTAGTTTGAGACCACAGAGTCTTGCTCTGCACAGGCAACGCAGCGGTGGTCTCCTTCAAGAAGGAGGAGAGGTGCATTCCCCATCGTTGTCAGTCCTAGTGGAGCAAATCCTCCTTTAGTGCCTGGAATACAATGTGGAGCTAACCGCACACCACCTTCCAGGGGTGAGTAACAGTCTGGCGACGCCCTTTCAGGACGGCTCCGTCTCCAGAACACTGAGTGGCTGATACCCCAGTAGGTAGCCTCCAGGCTGTTTCGGCTGTGGGACGGTCCAAGTTTGGACCGGTTTGCCGCACCCCGGAACGCCAAGCTCCCGACGTACACAACACTCCTGCTGACTCCAGGAGCCTGGGCCAGGGTTGCTTTGCTAACCCTGTGAACCCACTTAGTTGTGTACGCCATTCTTCGCTTCCCGCTAGTTCACCGGGCACCAGAGAAAACTTCGACAGGTGCATACCTGCATATTATCATTGGTCGCACCCAATTGGCCAAGCAAGGCCTAGTTTCCACTTCTGTTGGAAATGCTAGTCGAAACACCAGCAGTGCTTCCGGACTTACCGAACCTGCCGTCTCAACCAGATGGCGCACTACCAAAGGGGCCAGCAGGTATCACTTACATGCATAGAGGCTCTCAGTAGACCCGCACATACGAAAGCCTTATCTGAGCGGGCTGCCAACGTCCTGGCCAGGGTGAACAGGGATTCCTCTAATGTGGCCTACATTTCTAGGCTGCGAGCATACACCGATTGGTGTAGCGGAAAGGAGATTGATCCATACCATCCCTCTATTGGCCAGGTAGCAGGCTCCTTCGTCCACCTGTTTGACGAAGTGGGTTTGTCCTATGCAGCGATCGTTGGCTACAGGTCGGCCTTGTCCCCCACCACTCAAAACGTACGGGAACAAGACTAGCCGATTGTCCTATTATTAGGAGACTATTTACTGCTTTCCAGACTCCAAGACCCCATACAAGGGAGCCGGCCAACTTGGACTTGTCGGCTGTGTTGTCTGCTCTAAGCAGACTGCCCTTTGAGCCTCTCCGATCAGCACCACTCAAATTTTGACGTAGAAAATAGTCTTCCTACTGGCCCTCGCCTCAGGTAGGCGTCGGCCAGAGCTGGGGGCATTGTCCTTCTCAGATGATGTACCGCCGTTATGGACAATCAAGTTGTGCTAAAGACACAAATCAGGTTTCTTGCCTAGAACCAAATTCCAGGACACTATCCCAACCCAATCGTCAGTCTTAGTTTGCTGACCCAGCCCAAACGACCGCTAGGGTCCCTGCGCATAGGCAATAAGTCAGTCCGGCATTTTATGCGGACAGAATTCTCCACCATCAGCACTCTCCTGGAAGCTCCCAGGTCCCGCTTTGCTGCCTATGCCCTCATGCAGAACTGTTTTGGTCTTTACTTCGAAAGCTTACTACCCCCCCAGAATTGGGTTGGGGTCTGGCTTTCTTGGGCACACCGAACCCTGTCACCGTAGCAGCATTTTGGCTTTTTGCTCCGGGGACAGCACAGGCAAGGTAAGACACCACCTTTTTTGGGGTCTTAACTAGAGTGTTTCATCCCGGACTGGGAAAAGACTTTCATCATTTTTTCTGTTTGCTCGGAAAAACCCGCCACCTATCGGCGTCTGACTCTGCCTACAGTTCAAAATAGTCATTTTGACTGACCGGAATCTATGGTGGGTAATTGAACCTAGTGAATTCAGGCAAGGGTTCTCCGAACCCGCCTATTCACATAGTTCATATCCACCATAGGCTCCGGGTCCCCCCCCCCAACCACCCCACTCTTTCCATGGCGTTGGTCTAAGTCCTCGATGCGGAGAGAAAGGAACCTGAGTGATTTGTACAGCCGTCTATGGTGCTGCCATATGGCCTCGGTCACGTGGTTCGTGACGTAAGGGAAAGAGAATCAGAATCGCTGATTAATGCCTACAGATCAAAATAGTCATTTTGACTGACCGGAGTCTATGGTGGGTATGAACTATGTAAATAGGCGGGTTCAGAGAACTCTCGCCTAAGTTCAAATTTTCATGTATTGTGTTATGTCTTTGTCACATGCAACAAGTTCAGTCTCTGAACACACATTTCAACATTGCTGCCACGGTATTACAAATCTTCTCGTTTGCTCACATTGTGCAATTTCTTGAGTAACTATCCTTCCACTATTTTTACCACAGTTTAGCACATTAGTAACTAAAAAATAAAAATTCATCCTTAATATCGCCACAGAGAGCACTCTAACTCATGGCGTGCCACAATTATAGTATAAGCAACTTGATCCGAGAAGATTTGAAATTGATTTCTTTTTGATCGGAAAAATTTATAATTTCTTCTTATTTCCCCCGCATACAGGTGCATATGAAAACCGCTCAGTATTTGATTCATTGGATATTGGTTGGCAGCTTCTACGTATCTTCCCAAAAGAGATGTTGAAGCGAATTCCACAATCCACACTCTCAGAGTTCTACCCAAGAGACTCCACTCGAGGTGGTCACTAAGAATAATTAGTTATCATTGTAATGATTGTGTCATATGCAATTTGGACCCTGACCCAGTGTCATGATCTGCCACCATTGTTTCTCACACTCAATTGACTTTATTCATGACATCCCTTAAAGATTTCAAATCCTGTGTGTGACCTTTAAGAGTCATGTAAAATCACTAGGATGTTTGACCTTTAAGGGTCATGTAAAATCATCGAGTGTGTGACCTTTAAGGGTCATGTAAAATCTCCAGTATGTGCGACCTTTAAGGGAAATGTACAAGTTTAATTACAAACAAGGCTATACTGTAGTTTCAATATTTCAGTCTTGTTGTATATGAAAAAAAGAAATAATGTAAATTGTATGTATATCACAATTTGCATATCAAATGGTGTGGCAAACATGAATATGCAAATTCCCCTTGTCAATTGATAAATTAGAAATGCAAAAAACAAAATAATGTAAATTTTTCCTTTCTGGTTGAGGAAAAACTGCATGGTGGTTCAGGATTGAGCAGTCTCAAAATATAGCAGTGTAGTCAAGCAGTAAAAATTGTGTCTTGAACACCCCTATCCCTAAATTATCTATATGTGGGATTCTTTGGGTCACTACAAAATCTCACTGGTGACGAAACAGATGTCTTGTAATTTTTATGTAAATATATTAGTAGTTCTTTGCTTCAACCATCTGAATTCTGTGACATATTTAACAGACACAAAATTCCCAGGAGGCAAAGTGGAAGTTACATTGGCAATATTACATTTATGAATTGTTATATTGAGAGTATTGTTCGCAACGTTGAATCAAACAAGTACAGAATAGCCATGACTATGTATGTGTACTGACTGGGAACGCTTGCCATGCATGAGAACCAAGAGTGCTGTATTGTGTCTGCATTAATTGTGGTTGACACTTTGCTGTAACTCCTTTGAAATGCATGAAATTAGAAAGTACTGGGTTGGTGGTAAATATAGATGGTATTGATAAACCTGTGTATCATATGCATATAGCATACAAGCAATGAACACGCTGTTCTGTCCTTGGTTGTAAAAGCAATCAACTGAAAAATTAGACACCAGTTTTATTGGAATAATATATATATTTTGAACATATTGGTTTCAAGTAAGCAGTAACTCGGGTCAAATTGGAGTAGAATTTGTTTTATTGGAACTCCAATTGCACGTGATGAAATTTTAAGACATCAATGACTCTTAACGGAGCAAAAATGTGTACAGATAATTACAAGATTCATCGCGATTGGTCCAGGGACCAAAACCACAAGTTAATTAGCCAATAAGAATCCTTTATCTTGCTGTATAGGTCTAGATTTTCATTAATGTTGCAACATTGTATGCATTTGTTTTGATTGTAATTAGGCAGGATTTGATGACAAACATGTCAGGTAATGTATGTACAAACCGTGAATAAAAACATGTCTAGAAAATTGTAAACGGTTCCTATTTTTTTTTTTTTAATGAAAAAGTATATATCTGAACATAAATAAGACTTCTTGCAAATTATTCAACAAGTCAATGACAGTCCCAGTTAGTGTTGTAGACTCAATGTGTGCAGTTCAGGCTTGTTGAATATGTTCACTGGTCAGCCATAATGAAGTGCATTAAGGATGAAGTTTGAACTGTCTATGCACAACAGAGAACCAATTCCAGAATGATGAAAATGCATGATTTTGGCCTCATGATGGCTGCCATTTGACCATCTAATTATGAAACAAATCCAAGTCTGATGTTTTAATTTGATCGGCTGATGGATGACCTGCATATCAATTCACAAGTTGTTTTTGGACTTGGTCAAATTACAGCATGACAGTTGATGCAACAGCACCCTCTAAAGACTGGGAAGCCCAATTCTTTTGTTTTTTTTAAATGCAAATTTGTAGCACACAAGTCAACCTCCAATATTACACTAATTAAAAAATTCTATTTGATCTTTACTAAAACACTAAAAATGGCGGGATACAAATCCAGAATTTCAGATGTCTGTTGAAACATGTTGAAAATTAAATTAAAATGTCGGGTCTTGTGCATGACCCCCTCTAAAGGGTATAGTCGTTGAAGATATTTTGACTACATGCATATTTTCACAATGACTAATTTTTACTGGGTTTAAATTTCACTGATTTACCATTCAGGCATATTCAGTGGGTTTTAAATTCAGTTTCGTCATTTAGATGTGTTATATGCTAAATTTTACATATTCACTGGGTTTTAATTAAGCACATTTTCCAGTCAGCGAAATAAGCTAAATTAAAGCCCAGTGAATAATTGCCCCCTTTACAGTATCCCACCCACCAAGTTTTGTTACTAGTGTGAAATATTTGCCTTAATTATTGACCAAATGATCTAATGGACACATTTCCATTCACTGCGAGGTAGCAATAGTATTTTAGAGGCTTTTAAGGCATTTTAACTTTGAATGCAATGCAATCTGATTAAAATCTGATGTAGTGTACGGGCTTTAATTATTTTGGCTATAAACTTATTTTAATTTTATTTTTTATTACTTTTGTTATTAATGCCCTTTTATTTTATTTTATTATTTTACTTTGATTTTGATTTTGTGATTTTTTTAATTCCGCCCTACCTACATCTGAGCCGATGCCTATGTAACGAGATTTCAACGAGACCCACTATCGACGATTTTAGTCAACGAATCACATACCTCCTTCTATAGCGCACATGATGACGTCACCCGGCGGAGTCGGGTGGCAAACACACTCAAATAAAATGGCGGATTATACCGACGTTAGCGACCGAGAATAACACGGCTTTTCGGTAAGTTTATCATTGTCAAATGCAACGAAAGTCATTTTTATGTTAATATTGTGGCTCGAATGGTTCGACTTTAGATCGTTATTTTGCATAGTTATTCTGGGAGTGACGATTTTGTTTCCGCCGTTTCGACCAAACACCAGTGTCTTTTTCCAGTCGCCTGCCCTGGAGACGGGTGATGTTTTGTTGAAGATCGGGCCAACATCGTCTACGGTATTGAAACCGTAGCTGTAAATATTCATCAAATTGTATCATCATTTTGTACATTATACCAATAACTCTTTATTAA